GTAGTGCTTCGTCTTCCACTGTGGGCTTGTAGTGTGCTATTTCAGGTGTAGCCACAGGGTTGCGGTTCTTGAGGCTTGCTTCCTCAACAATGTTGTTGATGTAGGAGTCGGCCAGTCCGATGGTGATGTGATCACCGTTGTGTTCGATGATTCTTCCAAGGAATTGTTGTGGTTGTTGTGGTTCAATGTAGCCAATGTGGTGAGTAGTACTCGTTGTTGGATCGCCTAAAAGGTCTTGTTGACTATAGTTGGGTCGCCGAGAACAAGTAGATCGTCAACGTACACCATGATGTAGCAGTCTCTTGTAGGCGAAGTGTAGAGGTTGGGTTCAGACTTTAGACGTTTGAAGCGTCGTTCTTGTAGGACTTGTGCTAAGTATAAGTCTTGCCGTGCCTTTGGTGAACTGCGTAGTCCGTACATGGCTTTTCGTAGTCGCCACGCTTGTTCTCCGTCGTGTAGTTCGATTGCTGCGATCATGTTGATCCGTTGTCGTTGTGATTGTGGTTGTGTAGTGTCTTGTTCGGTCGTCTTGACAGTAGTTCCTTCTTTCGTCTTTTGAGCCTTTGTTGGTTGCATTACTTCGTCTTGATTTCGTCGGTGGTGCTGGTAGCGGTGGATGTCGGCGTGTGGTTGGTCATGTAGCCATTGGTGAGTCCGGTAGCTGCGAACTTGAAGTTCCTGTCGTAGGTCTCGTCGAAGGTAATACTGGTCCTGCAGCAGTTCGCGCTTGTTTGCTCGGTGGTGGTTGTGGTACGTCGTCTTCAGCGTTAGTCTGTTGTCCTGCGTCACGTTGAGGTGGTCGTGGAGATTGCAACGGTGGTCGTAGTGCCGTAGTTTCGAGGAGTGTCGTAAACTTCGGGTCGTAGGTGCTACGTCTCGGTGACCATGGAGTTCCGGTTATCTTGTTCAGTAGTGCGAGGTCGTATTTGAAGTCCGGTTGTAGTCTCCTCACCGTGCGTACTTTCGTCACTCCTTGTTCCGTAACCACGTAGTTTTCACCTGTTTCGGAAACCTTACCTAACCAGATACATTTCTGCATGCGTAGTTCGGCTTTAGGTAGACTCTTGTGCTGTGGCGGCATGTACAGAAGTGTTTCTCCGAATTCTACGATTGCTCGTTCGTAGTTGCGCTCCCAGCGTCGTTCGAACCGTCGGAGTGTACTACGTAGCGGTTGATAGTCCACGCAGCGTGTCGTATGATTCATGGTAGTAAGGGATGTTTCACGTTGAGTGTGGTCCTGTAGCTGCGTTCGACTTGTGCCTTGAAGGTGCGTATTTGGCCAAGTAGTGTTCGGTGTAGTCGTTTTACACTTCCTTGGCTGTTACTGTAGTTTTGCTGCTGTGGCTTTCAGTAGTGTATTGAGTGTGTCCTCGTTGTCGCTTTGTAGTATTCCATTTGTGCGACCGCATTCCAGAATGAATGCTTGTAGGTTGTTGATCATGTAGTCCATCATTGAGGGCTTGCCCGGAACGAGACATGCCATGCACAGTTGTGTAGTTACGCCAGCTGCTGTCAGTACTTCTGTAGGTCGCGGCTCCTGATTGGTCTTGATGTAGGCGAAGTCGACCTGAATGACGGGTTGTCGTGTTCGTTGTGTTTTGTAATTGTTTTGTCGTCCTCTTCCCTGTGCACAGGTTGGACACCAATCTCCGTAGGGAAGATGTGTGAGTTCATGTTCATGAACTTCCTGTGGTGTAGGTTTGCAAGGTTGTCGTATTTGTTTGGCTCGTTGTGCTTCTACGTGTGGTTCATCATCTGCAAGGATGTTGTCATCCATGTAGTGGTATCCTTCCTTCACAGTGAGCCGTGTTGTACCGGTCCATGTGTAAGGTAGGGGAGTGTTACCAGCTGTGGTCCAGTCGTCCTTGTTTGACTTCGTTGAAGTTGTTGGTGGTGATTGTAGTTGTATAAGCTTCAAGTGAGTCAATTGGCGGGCGTCCTGGACCATCTGTTGGAATGAACATTGTAGTGCGTGGTACCAAGTGGTGTCTGGTCCAGTGTTCTCCTTGTCGTTCCCAGTAGTCTTGCTTGTCTTCTTGTGTCGGTGGTCTAGTTATTTTGGATGTAGGTGCCGGTGTGTCAACGCTTGTTGGTTGTGTTTGTTGTGCTTTAGGCCTCCAAATCTTTTGTGGAGTTGTTGGTTGTTTTTCAGGTTGTGCACTTGAGCTTTGTCGTGCGAATGTAGTTTTGCCTGTGAGCCTTTGTGTAGGATTCATCTTTCTCCTAAACCTAGTTTCACCAACCCAGTGGTCACCGGGTAGTCGTTTGTGAAGCTCGGTTTTGGAAATCTGCTTCATGAAGTCTTGTATCTCCGGTTCCTTGCCAGTTCTGACAACTGTAGTTTGTCTCCAGTCGTCTAGTTGTTCTGTAGGTATTGGGCATCCGGAGTCTTCTGGTGTGAAGAACGCTTTTCGTGGGCGCTTGTGCACTCGGACGGCGTAGTCACCATCGAGTTGCCAGTAGTCAGTGTTTCCTCCAAGGATCCAAGGATGCTTCGTAGTCCTTGGTTAGTGTGAGTCAGTGGTGCTATATAGTGTTGTGTTGTGGCAAGTGGTTCTCCGTAGTGATTGGTTGTATCACAGCTCTCATGACTCCGTCGTGGTCCAGTAGTGGTTGTAGTTCGTGATCTTTGGAATGTAGATCCACTTGATGGCCAAATAGAAGAGTCCTCTCTGTCGAAGTAGTGGTGCTGTGTTATCACCGTGTGGAAGTGAACAGTGCTGTGTGTCCAGTTTCAGGTTGTAACCTCGATCCAGTAGTCTTGATGCTCTAAGGATCGGGTACTTCACATCGCAAACGTAGTAGGGAATCATGATCTTGCAGTTGCTTCTGGTAGGGCACGTACTTGATTCCGTAGACAGGGATTTGCCTGTTTGTGACCGTGTAGAGTTGCAGAGTGGTAGTGCAGTGCCAAAGTGGTATCTGGTGCGTAGTCTCTAGGATAAACACGTGTGGATGCTACAAAGTCTAGTAGTAGGTAGTGAAGTTGTTCCTGATGTTGTTGTTTGTTGCTGCCTTGCATCAGGTACTTGTAGTACCTGTTGTAGTGATTGCTTCCACGTGCACTGTTGCTCTCATTGCTATAGTAGGCCTGTCTTCGTAGTGTCCGATGACCAGCCTTTCGTTGATTCCACTGATGTCGTGGGTTGTGTCGTAGTCGCCTGATGTACCAGATTGGTCATGCTAGTTCCACCAATTTTGTTCTGCTTGATTGTAGTCCCATTCTGGTTCTTGCCAACTGTCTCCTGTGTCGTCTGCATAGCCTGTAGTTGCGTAGTCTTCCCAATCTTGTGAGTAGATCTCGTCCATCTCGTGGTCGTAGTCTTCTTGAGGCTCTCCTTCGTGTAGTTGCCAAATTGCAATTCTGCGTTCTGAAGCGTAGTGGCCGTACCTGCCGCATTTGTAGCATGTTCCTTTTCCTTGGCTGTTGTTGTAGTTTCCTTTACCTTTTCCTTTGCTTTTGCTTTTGCCTCCTTGGTGGTATGAACCTTTGTGTCCTTTGCCTTTGTTATCTTTACTGCAGCCATGGCCGTAGTTTCCTTTTCCTGTGTTGCTCCATCTCTCCTTGAAGGGCCATTCTGATGTTCCTTTGCCTTGTCCTTTGTAGTTGCCTTTTCCTTTTCCTCGATGTCCTTTGTAGCCTCCTTTGTGTCGTCCCTTGTAGTTTCCTTTCTTCCACAGGTTGTCAACGTCCATTGCTGCTAGTCCACAAGCGTAGTTCCTGTCAACGGCTGATGATGTAGTTGCATTCACCTCGGAAAATGCCGAGATGGTCTTGTAGTACTTGATCACCACATCACGCACTGCCGTGTAGGTAGTCATTGTTCCAGCTCGTAGTTGAAGATGTTGTTGTAGTGCTCCTTTCGTCTCATTGAGTAGTACTGCAATCTTTACTCCATCTGGTAGTGCTGCTCCGTTGTCGCGCTCATACCTGTTGAGGTCATATTCCCATTGTAGAAACTGCTCTTCGAACTGTTGTTCGCTGAATGAAGGTTTCAGTAGTTTAGTCAAGTAGCCAACACTTCTTGTACCAACTGGTAGGCTGAACCGGCTGTTCAAAAGTCGTACTGTTTCGCAACCATTGGCTGTGTAGCGGTTTTGTTTGACCACTGTAGCTGCTGGGCCTTGACAGATGCTGATGAGGATGTAGTGTAGATCACGGGCAAGGTTGACGAGCTTGTTGCCTCTTGCAGTGTCAGGTAGTACCATTGATCAGGTGTTGGTCTACCACTGTGTTTGTAGCTACGTCTGCTGCTCGTAGTCTCGTTGTCGATGAGTCGCAAGTAGGCTTGTAGCTTGAATCTCCATTCATCGTAGTTGGAGTAGTCACCATCGAAGTATGGTGGTGGTAGTTTGAACTTGTGTAGTCTCTGCACATCGCTTTCTGCCTGTGCTGCTGCTGTTGTTGCACCTGTTGTGCCTGTAGATTGTGCTGGTGGTATGCCTGCTGATGCTGCCTGTTGATCTCCTACTGTCATGTCGTAGTAGTTGGGCATACTGGGGTGCTACTGTAGTCGTTACTACTGGAGCTTCCGTTTGGGTAGGATCTCAGCTCGTTAAAATACAAGTGCAAATGCTGTGTAGTTTTTATCACAAACAAATGTAATCTGCCGCAGCCCTTGTTTCCTCTCCGGCGGTAGTGAGGCTCAAGGCCTGCAGTACGTATCAACTACCAGTGTAGTGCACATGCAACTGTATCATGCACTCACTGTAGTTTAACATCCTCTCCCCCCTCTCTCTCTCTCACTTTCTCTCTCCCTCTCTCACTTTCTCTCTCCCTCTCTCTCTCTCTCTTTCTTTCTCTCTCTCTCTCTCTCTTTCTCTTCCTCTCCCCTCTCTCTCTTTCTCTTTCTCTCTCTCTCTCTCTTTCTCTTTTTTTCTTTCTCTCTCTCTCTCTCTCTCTCTCTCTGCTTCAAGCAAAACGCCACACATATAAATCGACCACAGCCCTAGACCTCCGCTTCCGCAGAGACTCGCTGACCGAGGACTCGCTGCCGGGCATGGAGTCCCATTCCGAGTTGCAGCGCCACTTCGAGGACGCCATGCCGCCGGAGCTCCGCAGGCGGCACTATGCGGGTCTCCGAAACCGGAGAACTGGACACCAAAGTCTTGGCCGTGGGTTCCGTGTTTTTCTCTTTTTTTGGGGGGATACTCATTTTGCAATTTTTGTTTTGGTCCTGCCTTGCATATTGTAGGACGTCTTCGCTCATCAATGCCTAAACTGGCTCTGGCAAATTTGTACGCCCCTTAACATCTGGGCAAGCTGTAGCGACCTCAAACGGTGGTGTTGACCTTCTAGTGCTCGGAAGCGACTGGGGCAGTCTTTAGGAAGGCAAATCCTGCACGGTGAAGAGGCAAATTTGTCCTATTTTTGGACCAGTTTAAGGCGTGGTTGGGGTAATGTCCACAAGAAGAACCGGATGTGAATATTAAAAGGGGCCCCTTTGGAGATCATTTAGGTGGGGATTCATGTCCACCAACCACTTTTCGGGTGGTTCCCCAATGTTCCCCAAAGGGCAAGCCCCGCAAGGATGCATTTTTTTGATCAGGGCACCCCGGTTCCATTCCGTAGGAAGCTGCACCGGCCACATCTCTGGCTGCAGCACGAGGACCAAGACTTCGCCAGCGCCTCGAAAATTTGGAATGCGCGTGGATCAAGGCTCTCTGGAACCGGGGGCATATGACTTGCTGGGAAGGAGCGCGTTTTGTTGAGTGGGGTCCCAGCAAGACATGTGTTCATCTATTCTCATTACTTGTATTTTGTGGGAAACCGAAGGCGACCAAAGTGCCTCAAGGCCCTGTGAGCAACGGCTAATATTCAAGAGCATGTAGTGAAGAGGATGACACTGGGCAAGGTCCCACGTGGCTTCATCCTTTGAGTTCCCAGGCACCAGTCACTGGATTTCCGACGAATCAAGTGGATTCCAAGAGCCACTTGCGCCCAGAGAATGATGTCTCATCCATTTCCCAATGCACGCCTTGACACCACTCCAAATTTGGGTGTGGCTCAAAATTAAACAGGAGGGGCAAACCGCAGGTTTTGGTCCATGTTTCCACTTACCAGGGCAACCCATTTTCGATTTCCGGTTTTCTGAGCCACAGCCTGGGTTTCCGATGCGTCGATGCGTCGGCATCCGGATGTCGCCCAGGTGGGCACCGAGGACGTGGGCCGGTTCGTGAAGGCCGGAGCTCCGGGCGCCGCGCCGTCGCCGTGGGCGCAGCCGGTGCCATGGGTGGGTGCCCCCGATTTTGCCGTCCCGGTTTGGTTCCAGTTGGCCATGGGTCAAAATCCAAATCGGGCTCCCAGTGGTTACATCCGATTCAATCCAACCGCGAAAATAGGAAGCCTAAAATGGGTGGTGAATTCACCTACCCCAAAATGGTACCATTGGTTTTGACCCACAGCCATTTGGCTCAAGGGAGTTACTTCTTTGGGCCCAAAATGAAGGGCTGTTTCAGGCTTTGCGATTGGCTTTGCATGGCCACGGCACATGCCTGTGTGGTAGAACCTTAGATGAAAGCATGCGAAAAGGTTTTAGGTAAGATTGCATGTTCCCTGCAGGGTCCCACAAAGACAGGGGACTTCATTGCTCATTTTCCCCACGTCCAGGGTAATTGTCGTGGATCTTTCAATCGGGGTAAAATAGACTAAACAAACGCCGGGTTTCCTATTGGCTTCCTTTTAAACCAACCTCCAAAAAGGGTTCCGACAAAGACAAGCCCATACAATTGGATCACAAGAAGTTCACGTGCATAACTTTGTACCAAAGAAGACAGACTCATTTCGTTGGGACAAGTTGGGGAGGGGGGGAGGGTCACATGCAGCAAAAAGAACTTGCTGGTGTGATCGGCAGAAAATGAGAAAGGGAAGCAGGGAATGCGGGAATGAACCTGGGGATCCCCGAACAAAGGAAACCACAGGACATGGCTGGTTTTTCTCGAGGTCAATACTCATTCAATTCAATACTCATTCCTCCCTTCAAGCCACAAAAAGGGGTGCCAACTCCAAAAACAGACGTACCGATATCGCTCCTTTTGGTTTCCCTTTACCATCCAAGAGGGTTCCCTGGCGCTCAAACCACCGAAGGTCGACATGTGACCCGCGTCAATCCAGCCCACGTCCATCGGCCGCAGATCACCCGCAACGATCTGCTGGAGCACCTGCCGGAGGGTGGCTGCGGGGAGCTGTCGTCAGCGCCCCAACCACCGAACCGCCAAGCGCCGAACACCGCCAAGCGGCGCGCGTTTGGGGGAGATCGGCCGGATCCAACCCTTCGGTGTTCCCTGGTGGCAATGTGGCTACCACTTTTCTGTAAAGACGCCAAAAGAACTTCATTTTCATTTCCATTGCTTTTGGGCAAGTGAGAGCACCAAGGGAGCTCGTCAGAAAGGGACCCTCAGAAAGAACATGAGCATCTAATCACGGATGTGCTATGGTGAATTTGGGGTTGGTTGGGCTGGTCACGAAGTCCCGGACGTTTCACGTTTTAAAGCGTTTTT